CTAGAAGGCCAGGTAAACTCCACCAGGATGTGTTGGATGGAGAGTGATGGAGGCTTCAAAAAGGAGGTAGATATGGAGCAGGAACTTGAAAGATGAGGATGTAAGTATGGGGCAGGTGGAGGGTGGAGTGAAATAGGAGGGCATTCCAGAGAAGGAGCAGTATTACTACACACCTAAATGTATGAAACAGCATGGCAGTTGGAGAAATGGTAATAGTTCTGCACAATCCTGAGGAAAGTTCTTCTGGATGCAGACCTGTCTGGGAATGAGAGATGACCAGAACTACAGAGAGAAACACAGGATAAGCTGCTGTGATGAGTCAAACAAGAGAGGATACAGAATTGAGCTCAGGCAACAGTGAAATGGGGAGAGGAGGTGGAGAAGGAAAAAAGCAATTTGCTTGTGGTGCATGAGGGGAAAAGTGACATCAGAGCAGAGTGCTAAGCCGAAAGTCTTGGCACCATAAGTGAAGGGCAGATTTGAAAGGCAGGACAATGAGTTCTGTTGGGAGGATTCCCCAGGAGCTGTCCAGGAGGGAACTGAGCATGTGGTGTGATTGCTCAGAGGAGAGGTCTGTAGAGGGAACTGGTCCTTGGGCTCTGGTACAGCCTGGCCAGAACTGCACTGTTTGTTGTATAAGTACAGGACTGTCCTTATACACGTGCTGTTTGTTGTCAATGGAAAGTAAAGAAGCAATTTATGAAATTTACATTCAGAGAAACTGTGGGAGGACACCTGATAGATCCTATCCCGTGCATGTATTTTTGCACACAAATAATTCTCCTTTCTATTTTAGCACCCTGGGAAATCCCCTTTCTCACCATCAGCTCTGAGTAAGAAGCCAGCCCACAAAAGCTTTCATGTTAATTCTTCTTCTTGTGCTTATTGCAGATTTTCTTGGCTCTTGAGATATACATATACATACACACACATAGATGCGTGCATGCATGTGTGTCCTCAAGAGAATGGTGGAAATTTACACTGCAAACCTCACTGTATAAAAGTATATGATGTTGTCCTTGCCAGTGTGAGATAAGAACATTTCCAAAATATTTGCTAATCACCCGGGTAAAAAATTATTATTATTTTTATATTTTAAATATTTTAACTTTTTTCATTATTACAGGATCTATAAGCATCGAATATTTATAGATCTTTAAAGAAAATGCATTATCAAATTCTAATGTTACTTTTCTTCTCAGCCATTTGAACCAAAATGCAAAATTTCAAAAAAGCTTAAATACTGCAGAGTAAAAGTTGTTTTGTTTATCTTTAAGACTCTATTTCTATCTAGTAAATTGAGAAGACTACTCTTAATTACCTTATGGTTTAAAATTAATATTTTGTTATATTAATTCACATTTTTCCAATGTATATTTTTGCATTTCTATCTATATACCCTCTGGATTTATTATCCATGCCTTGAAATGCCAAATGCATATTTTAATTTGATTTTTAAATTATCATATGGCAAAATTGACTTTTGTTTTTGGTGTATAATTCTGTGAATTTCAGTTTAGATTTCTGTGAGCACTACCATAGTCAGGCTGTAGAAAAATTCGATCTTTTCCAAAACTTGCTCATCAATCCCTACAGAGCCATACCCTGCCCCCTCCCCCAAGCACTGGCAATCACCAATATTTTTTCTCCATATTGCTCTGTCTTTCTAAAAATAGTATATAAATGCAATTGTATAATATCTTGTTTTATTTGGCATTTCTTGAATTGCTCACAAGGCTGAACTTTTTCATGTAACTAGTTGCAGCTATGTTCTCTGTATTTTGTATAGTTTGTATCATTGCCACTTACGCATTCAGGTCATAGGTAGCATTTATGCAAACTTGCTGTGCTTATTATGTAAGAGCTAGAGGCCTGGTGCACGGATTCATGTACATTGAAAGGAAATTAATTAGAAGGTGGACGGCAGGTGGGACTGAGTGAAATGGGCCAGACATGCCCTGGAGCCAACCTCCCGTGGTCCCTCCCCAGCCGGCCACACCTGGGATGATGCCATGGCTTGAAGGGTGACTGCGGAGTGAGCGGGGTCCCTCCAGCAGAGGGGTCCCTCGGTCTGGCCTGCAGGGATCAGGCCAAAACCAGCAGCCTGACATCCCCTGATGGGTTCCGGAGTGCAAGAGGGCACTCTGCAAAGTTGCTGTTACTCCTGAGTTGAGCATCTGCCCCCTGGTGGTCAGTGAGCATCATACCTACTGGCCAGTTGCTTAGGCTTTTATATATATAGATGATGCTAACTCATTGTCTGTGGTAATTTCCATCCATATTGCCCTTGCTAAGTTCTTGGCTTTATGTTTCATTATTTTCTTGAAATATATAAGACTTTACGATTAGTAATATCATCAGATCTAGTAATATTGTCGTACTCTGGTGATCTAGTCTGATGCAATATTCCTAATTTTTAAAAAAATTATAAAAGGATGGTTATGACAGCATATTTCTAGTATGGAAAATTTGGAAACAGTCTAACTGTGAAACTGTAAGACTTTAGTAAAGCACATCCCAGTGCTGTCCCTCAGTAGAACGTCGTGCAAGAATGAAAAGGATGCTGTCAAAAATAATGTAACATAGACTGTTTTATGGTAAAATATTAAACAAAAAAGCCAAATATAATTCCATGCATACATATGAGCACAGTATATAAAACAAAAAACACACACAAAACCTGATTATTTAGAAAGACTAGAGAAAAATATATCAAAATAGTAATAGCAATTTGTTTTCATTGCTGGAACTGTGAGATGTTCCAATTTTGTGTGTTTTCTTCATATTCCATACAGATCACTTTAGTGCTACAGGAGGGGAAGTTTTTCTGAAGAGCTCCGGAACAAAATGCTACCTTTGGCCTTTAAAAATACCCACCCCTGAGCTTGAGCGTTATTAAAAGATGTGTGAAGTTAAACACACAAATGTCAATTCGCTCTTTGGATGTCAAACTGTCAAATCCTGTCACTGGGACTAGACCTTTAGAAAGAGAGGCAGTGGCTTGACTCTCACACAGGTGCATGCACTAGGTAAACTGTCAAATGCTCATCGGTGAGTGGACAAGGTAAGGGGATCTGGTGAAATGGCAAATGAATCTGGACTGCTAATGAAATAGATCAGTTGTTGTCTAAGAAGCCCTGTGGGAGGAGAGGGGGTTTCACTGCTCCTCTCTTTCATACAGAGAAACCCAGGTTACCTTAGAGGTTTCTGTCTATTCCCAGACAGATTCTCCCAGGTGCATGCTGAGCTGTTGTCACCTAATTGTGAACCCAGCCTGGAAATGGCAGAATGACAAATCCCTCCCTAAAGGTCAAAGTGCTTGTAACTCACACTTCATGAGTCAACGATCCCTCCTGACTCAAGAAAGAATTACTTATCTTTACTTGTATTGAGGAAATCTTCACAGAGTTCACACATGGTAAATATTCTCAAATGAGAATAGTTCCTGGTGATTTTTCCTGATTACTGGAGATACACAGATTTCTCCAAAAGACCTATATGGCCCAGGAGAGGTGGGGAGGGGTCTCAAAGAAGTTTTCTCCAGAGAACGCTCCGCTCCGTTACCAGCTCACCTACTGCCTGAGAATTCTAAACTCAGAGGGTGAAGGGATTCCCTAAAGACAAATCTGAAGTCATCCTGCTGCTAATTCAACAGAGTGACCTACACAGCTTGTGTTTCAGAGACTAAGGACACCCCAACAAATCATGATTCTGTAACCAGCTCCTCTAGTTAAACCTGCTAAACTCTGCGGGAAATTGGGACTTGCTTAAAATCCATGAAATTAACAACAGTTGTCAAGGGCCCTTAATTTGTCTCGCTCTGGGTCCAAAAAAAAACAAAAGATCCAGAGATGACTGGCATTCCCCAGGACTGGTGAACTTTTACCACTCGGATTCAAGATTCCGGGCCCAACATTTCCAGCAAAGTCATTGATTCTCACATCTGGATTCCCATTAGTCTGAGCAGTTTACTTCCTTTATATAAGGTAGAAAAGACAGCTAAGGCTTTGTAATGATTAACTTTGTTCTTGTTAACTTCGGCTTACTTAAGAAACTGGTAAAATTCAGGAGACAGTTCAAGAAGCCAAAAGAAGTAACTTTTCACTGATTACCAGTTAATAGTTTCAAAGTAATGTGGCCTCATAGAAAAGTAGGTTAAAAAGGAAAAAAGGTGCTTAGTTGAGATAAGTGGCAGCCAGAGTAAACAAGGAAAAGAAGGAACAGCAGGTGAAGATTCAGACTAGAACTCTAAAATGTGTGGCCAGGACTATGATTTTCACCTCTATCTCTAGGCAAGCTTAATTATGAGTTAATTGGCTTTTATGAAGTACTTTGTTGATCCTTGCACAATAAAGCACTGTTTCTATGGCAGTCAATGATTTAGGGTTTTTTAAGTAGTTCATGACATTCAAAAGCTTATTTTATATGTATGCATATTTACATATCACACAGATATATGACTATGAAGAGAGCAACCTTTTTGAAATGTCTAAAGTACATAGGGCTCAGCTGCTAAATACCCAGAGCCAGTTCTACCACACACACAAATAGCCCATGTAAGAATTTTGTGGTGTCATATTTAACTGGTGTGACTAAAATAGACTCACACTTTATAAACTCATTTTTCTATTATTGTTGGTTGTTTCCTGGGTTCCTACTTGAATAATAGAAGAAATAAAATGTTGGGAAATGTTTGCCTCTCTCTGCAACTATCAGACATAACTGCATTAAATGAAGAGTGGGTTACAATTCCAACCGACGAGGTTGAATAACGCAGACTTCCAGAAAGCCTCCTTCCTTGGCAAGTCGGTCTGTGGTTTGGGGTGAGCCCAGTAATATATTTTGCAGAAGGGGGAGTAAAAGCATTTGTTCAAATGGAGAGTTAAGCCATTTGAAACTGAGACTGTTGGCAATAAAGCACTGGTTAGGTGGAGATGGGACACCAAAGATAATACATTTTATAGCCCTTCAAATAGCATTTGTCTTTTGTCACTTTACAGGAGCCACTATGTCACCATTTCTTCGAATTGGTTTGTCCAACTTTGACTGCGGGTCCTGCCAGCCATGTCAAGGAGAGGCCGTTAACCCTTACTGCGCTGTGCTGGTCAAGGAGTATGTTGAATCAGGTAAGCTAGTGTGGGTCTTCCAAGCGGGGGTGGGATAGGAAGACCCTGCTGTGAACTATGAAGCAAGGCCTTTCCCGGTCTTCGAGGTCATCTAGTTCAACCTAATTTTCATTCCAGGAAACTGATGCCCAAGGGAAGCCCAGTACCTCCTTAAGGGTAAATGGGCTTAGTGATCACCTCTGAACTAGACCCAGGTCACCTGCCTGTGTTCTATTTCATGAGACCATTCTCCCACATAAACAAAGGGAGCCAGGAAAGAAGAAATGGATTTGCGGACTTTATGTGAGGAGTTAAGGGGGTGGGGGGCCAGAGGGAATCTAGTGCTCTAATGTGGAACATGGGACCTATATTGTTAAGACTCATTGTTTTCAATGATTATAGGTTAAGTCTGCATAATCTTAGAATTAGCTTCTAAAGACGGCTTTCTGTTTCTTTGCACATAGTTGATGAATATTACAAAGAATATATGAATTAGCCATTAGGAACCATATTTCAGAAAACTTACTTTTGCATTAAGACCCTGGATCAGTAAAAAAAATAGTCCGTGTTATGTGAAATTGAAATGTAGATAGGCAGTTCATGGTGAGGGAGAAAGCGTGACAGGCTTTCAAAAGTCCTTTTGTGGGTTAGATCATTCAATTAAAATAATCCCATTCTGACTAGAATTTCTCCACAGTCACTTCCACTGGTTTCCATTCTCCTCCCTGCCCCCATATTTTAAGATTCTTATGGACTTTCTTTTTTTTAATTTATCTTTATTGTTGAAAGTATTACAGATGTTCCCCTTTTTTCCCCATTGACCCCCACTCCTGTCCCCTCCCCAGGCCTTTACCCCACTATTTTCTGTGTCCACAGGTTACACATATATGCATATAAGCTTTTTGGTTGATCTCTTCCCACTCCTTCACCCCTTCCCTCTGAGGATCCTCAGTCTTATGGACTTTCTAGCAGTGGTTCTCAGCCTTCCTAATGCCTCAACCTAATACACTTGTGGTGACCCCCAGCCATAAAATTATTTTCGTTGCTACTTCATAACTGTAATTTTGCTACTGTTATGAATCGTAATGTAAATATCTGATATGCAGGATGTATTTTCAGGGGTTGCGACCCACAGGTTGAGAACCACTGAAGGAAGTTTACATCCCAAGGTTTTCCCAGCCCCATTACCTTTCCTGTTTCCCTCCATACACTTCTTGTTTCAGCAGACACTTTGTAGAGAAGGAAGATTACCCCAGGCAGGTCTTCAGTGACCATAGGAGCCATTACAGTTCATGTGCATGAGAAGTATTTATGGGGCACCTACTGTGCACTGGGACAGAGAAAGTGCCTTTGCTTTAGCGCTTCTAATCTTGCAGAGGAAGATAGGAAGGAAACAAAAATATTAGATGGTAAGTAATGTGGAATAAAGAAAAAAAGGTAGGAACGGGGAGAGAGAAGGTTTGGGGACAGAGAAATGTTACTGCCTCTAAGGGGGTGGGGACAGAGAAATGTAACATTTACAGACACAAAGGGGAACCTGATTCTGCAGGTGAGACCCTGATTCTGCAGGGAAGAACCTCTAGCTAGATGTTACTGGCTCAGCATCCTGGGGTTCCCAGTCCTCCTGTCTTGCCTTTTCTCTCCTTTAAAAGACTTGGACTGCCATTTGACTTCATTCCCCCTGCCACAGTGAGTATGTCAAAGCTGAGGAGACCATCTGAATCATCCTGATTTCCCTTCTGACCAGATTTCTCTCCTGCTTCGTTTGAAGTGAGAATGGCACTTGCTCCCAATCTAAAACCTTTCAAATGTCACAGAAATCTTTGAAGTGTGAAATGTCTTGAGTTCTTCAAAGCTGCTTTGGACTTAATGGGTCTCCTGGATCCCAGTTCTCTTTACAACCACCGGTCTCCCTGACATTTGCTTCCTGGGCGCTTTATTTTTTTTTAATTTCTTCGCCTTTTGGCCTTGCCTTTGAACTTGGTCTAACCAGCCATGTGGATCAAGACCTTGTCAAAAAAGAAGATGACTTTGTTTTTCCAAAGGTTAGCCTGCTGTTTTTTATTTTGCTTTGGTTTTGTTCAGGAAGGAAATCTCTGTGAACATTATCATTCAAGTATTACTTCTACAGAATTTAAACACACTTCAACCTTGTTGGGGCTGTGTGGCTGCCTTTTTCATGGTGAATTCACAGAACAGAGACAAACAGAACACAGTGCTCAGGGCCCGAGAGCCTTTGAAACAATGATGAAACTCACTGTAACTAGACAGATGCTGAGTTCTGGTTCTCTTTTTAAGATGATTACAAACCTAGTGATCAAAAGTGTGAAAAATGCCTCCCCCTGCGAACTTCTGTCCTTTGTCAGGTGGAGAAAGGTTATGGTTATGAGAAGAATTATGAGAAGGAGGGGCTTAGAGTCCATAGAAGTAAAATGTTGCTATGATCGTTAATCTTGCCATGGTTTGTTTTTAAATCCAATTCCATTTCTTTTTTCCCAAGATTATTAATCATATTTAATGTTTTTAAAAAATATTTTCGAAATTTCTCACAGGCTATTTCTCCCACTTTTAAGCAAACCTTAAACCAAGGTGTGATGAAATCAGTGAGGAAAGAGCAGAAGGTGCATGTGCGCGAGGACTATTCCCAGGCCTCAATCCCAGCTTTGTCATCAGCAGAACCAGAGGGAGCAGCAATATACCCATGTCACTCTTTTAGCTCTGTCTATATTTTCCCTGAAAGTTAAGAGGGTATCAGAGTGCTGGTAGAAACTTCACTAACTGTGACAAACTATTCCTTCTTCTCGGCCTCGGTTAATAATTACACTTCCTCAAACAGTGCCTTCCACTTTACTAAATCTTCATCCTCACCCATGGTTCTTTCCAGTAACATACTAATCTATGTCACTCTGCTAGTTAAATTTCTTTTAAACAAGCAATAGAAATCTTCCCCTTCCTATTCTTCCCCTATCACTATCAGAGTTCATACCTCTAATAACCAGGTTTGCCTAAAAAGAGAAGTTTCAGCTTATTCACATTCTTGTATACCTCCCAAATGACAATTTAGCCTGTTCTGTTCTAGCAGTGTGCCTTGGAGAGAAAGGTCCATAGGGAGTCAGAACTGCTTGGTTTCCCTGCTTTAAACGGACTTTACCTTTGGTTTAATCAGCACCGCTGAATTGCTAAATCTGCCACATGCTGTGCTTATTATCACAAGAAACAAACACTCAAATGCCACTGTCGTTTTCTGCTTCTGGAATGATTAAAGAACATCTACTACAGAAACCCAATCTGGATGCAAGATGGGACAACACTATTTATCTCCCACTAGTAAACTCTCCCAATTGCCTGGTGGCTCTGGGGAGGTTTCCCTTAAACCTCACCATCCTGACCATGGTTCTTGTTAGAACCATTCCCGAGGTTGCCACTGCCTTCCCTTCCTCACTGCAGGTCTATGGCCTGCTCCACTGACTCACTCCATGGAGAAGGCCACCACCTCTTCAAGTTACTTGTCAATTTTTGCTTAGGGTGCATGGTGCCTGGTTCAGGTAAAATGTATCCGCATTTGAAAATTAGAAAAGGCAATAATGGCTCATTATATTTTATAGGTTTTGCCTTTTACCATAAAGAATGGGGTGTAAGTCACTCTGCCCTACCAAATATACTAAGCTTAGCCCTTTAATTCTCTTTATTTGCTTAGATATTCACACTCACAGTGAAGCAATTAACTGTAGGATAGGAAAAGAACGGTGCCTCTCCAAGGCACTGTCAGATTTTTGCTGCCTAAATTATCCAGATTGGCTTTAAGTTCATTACATTACCTTGCTTGCCAAATTTGGAACTGTCTCATTCTGTCCTACGTTGTCTCTAATTGTTTTATGCATCATTTTTGTCTTTCCAGCAGGATTATATATCCTAGAGCAGTGGTGGGCAACCCCTGGCACGCGTGCCAAACATGGCAGACCAGTAACTTTTGCTGGCACGCGAAACCCTCTCTTATAATCTTCCATTTACAATTTTTTTCTTAATATTGATTTTTTTATTTTTCAGATACATTCAGTGTACGAGCATCTTAGATAAATAAATAATTTTACATAACAAGTTATCTTAAAGACCATAGACATGGATTGATGAGAGAGGGGAAGAGCAATTTCTATGCCTCTGCCTTAACTCTCCTTGCCTTCCTAGATACGACCAGTGTTTTGGTTTCATCCACATATGCTTGTGGATCTTTGTTCTCAGTGAAGAATTTTGTTAAGTCTCATAATAGGAGTAGCCTGACGGATGAAAGTAGTAGCTCATGCATATCTCTGAAGGTCACGAAACATAAACCTGTCATCAGTGATGCAGCAGCAAAAGTCCCACTGATAATATCAAACGGAGTCATAAAGTTTTCTCTCAGACTATCAGTGTACATCTATACATTAAAAATAAATGTATTTTTCATCATCACATACTGTGTTTTTGTCGCTCGAATGAATTTTATTATTTCTTCAAGGTTTTTCACATACATACACCTTAAGAGATATCAAGTAGGCGTAAGATGTTCTAAAAAAATTAGGGTTGACACGCAGAAGAATTTTTAGTCAGAGATTTTGCTGGTTTTGGCATGCACTCACAAAAAGGTTGCCCACCCTTGTCCTAGAGAGTAGATGGAATGAGTGCCACTGCTGATTTGAATTGATTTTCCCCCCGAGTGGGCTAAAGGAATAACAAGACCATCTCTTTCTGTTCCTAGAGAATGGGCAGATGTACATCCAGAAAAAGCCAACCATGTACCCACCCTGGGACAGCACTTTTGACGCCCATATCAACAAGGGAAGAGTAATGCAGATCATCGTGAAGGGCAAAAATGTGGACCTAATATCTGAAACTACTGTCGAGCTCTACTCCCTGGCTGAGAGATGCAGGAAGAACAACGGGAGGACAGAAATATGGGTAAATATCTGAGCTGTGAGCCTTATTTAAACTGTGTGTACCATTAAGTGATAAGTACCATATTAGCTAAAGGCTAGCTCAAAATCTCAATGTCATTCTAAAATTATGACACAGTAGCCTTGTGTAAGCAGACTCCCTACTTAGTCATTGGTGACTTGATAATGACAATGATCATTACTTGTGGACTATTGAACATATTGTCATATTTAAATCTCTTTGATTCCTGTGTAAGGTGAAGAACGTCTCTTAAGCTATGAACAACTGTTCATGATTTATAACTAAAAGTAAGCTCAGAAATATCACAAATGCCCCCTAACTTGGGAGCATAACTATTGTCTATTTATCAAGATAATACATAAATATCTTGATAAGATATCTTACAGATAAGATGATAGATAAGTGAGAGTATAGAGCAAAGATCTATTTAATGTTTGGTCTTCTCCATACTTTGCCAATCCTTATAAATTGTTTTAGCTATAATGTATTCATTTAGCTTACTTTGTACTAAAAAGTACATCATACACATTCCATGTTACTACATCAAGTTTTTGAAAACTTTTATAAGTGTTTTATGAACAAATGTTTATAAATATTAAAGGGAAGAATCCCATATAATAAAGAGCTAATATGCTAATTAATCCAAAAAGCAGAACGACCGTCCGGATGACCTTCTGGACGAAGCTGGGGCTGTAAGGGCCAAGCCCCTTGCATGAATTTCGTGCATTGGGCCACTAGTAAACTATAAAAAAATAAATAAAATTTATTTCCCAGTGAAAATTGTGGGGGCCCACAAAATGAAAGTATTTATATACCAGTGAAAACTGCTTTTAAATAACATGGAACCCAGAAAAATATTATCAAATGTTTATATCATTTACAGAAACAGAGGGAATCTTACCTTTCTGCTTCTTACTTCCTATAACTCAGATTTTTAATAACTCCACCCAAAAGATTTTCAAGTCACTGGATTCAAAATAGGAATAAGAATGATATAAGCCTAAAAACTAGATTTTTTTGTGTCTGTTTTGTATTTTTGACCTCAGAAAAAATCAGTACTTATTAGGGAAATGTATTTTTATATAAATCGTTTTCTAGTGTCACTGAAGTCATCTTTAAAGATAAGTATATGCCAAGATTTTTTATTTTTAAAAAAGGGTTCCTATGCTTAGATGTGCCCGGATAATTTAGTTCAGAGTATCTGTTGAGCACTTGGGGGAAGACTCATGGAAACAGAACTCCTCCTGGGTAGCTAACTGGGCGAGTAGAACAATAATGTCACAGATGTGTACCATAGTCTTAAAGGTTTACATAAACCAGGTAAGTGAAGGGAGAGGCTGTAGCTGGGCCTGAAGCAAGGGAGCATTAGGCTAGGCTAGGAGAAAGCAGAAATTAACTAGAGAAAGTCTTCCCCAGTTTTCATCATTTCCCATTTACTTTCTGCTTTCTGCCTTGTGAAAAAGAAAAAGTCACCAAATCCCTAATTTTTCAAAGTAACGTGCTATTTTATTTCCTTCTCAAATAATGAAAGGATGACTACCTTTTTAATCCTTTTGTTAAGATTCACTGATAAACAGGTTGCTTTTCTATTTGTATCTCAAAGTTGCCTTTGATTATTTGCCTCAGCTTTTTCTGATTTTATTCTTATCAGACTTTTCACTTTTTTTTTTTTTTGCAATCTATGATTATTTAGACATAACCCTTGGGGACCTTCAGATCTTCATTTAATTAGCAACCTTTTTACATTTTCCAGCTTTTTAAAAAAAACTATTTCTTGATTGACTTTTATTTATAGTGTTTAAGAGCCAACAGGTTGTTTGGGACTTTGTTTTGGACTTATATTTTCTCATGCTTCTACTTTCTTAAAATTAATTTCTTTATTTTTAGAAAAATCTTTTCTCAAAGTTGCCTTTCACTTATGTAGACACCATCATCCAATTTCTAAACACCCCACGGGGGCTTGCCTCCTGTTTTCCCAAGTTTTTTAACATTTGTATGGTGACCTACTATTCACTCTCAGAAATGTGATGGACTATGACTTTCTGTGGATACTGTTTTGCCAGCAGCTTAGAGGTTTAACTTCCCCCATCACCAGTAAGTCCTGCCTGTTGATAACTATGGTTACCTGGTCCCAATCTCCCTCACTTCATTGTTTCCTGCTCTTCTAGTTCCACCTTTGTGTCCACCTTTATTACATATTCCACAAACCAGAGAACAGCAGTGTATATTCTTGATGGCAAAAGCACTTCTCTTTTCATTAATTTATTTAGGTTTTCAAGAGAATTTAATGTTGACCAAGCAGTACAGACTTAGTTTATCATAAAATTCTAATAATTGTGATACTGTGACAGAAATGTCACTATATCGGTTTTTCAGAGATCTTTGAAGGATTAGTGACTTACACAAGGTCACACAGCCAGTAAATTATATAGCCACAATTCAAATTCAATCCTGGGTTCAACCAGTCCTTTCTTAACTAGTCTCAGTTATTCTAGTTAACTCATGGATGTAATTGTCAAGAATAACCTTTAATTCATCTTCATATTCTTTTTGATATATTAACAATATAGAGTTATGGTTTAGTATATTAGCAATAGTGGTCAGGTTATGGTGGATTTGACATTTTTTCCATTATGTCACAATACTGTGTCACCCCTTAAATTACATTTTGCTCTAATCCTTTCTACATACTAGGTGTACTGGTTAATAATATGGATTTTTTTCAATAGATGGAGTTACACATATGTTGATATAGATGTGATTTGATATGTATGCTATTTTGTTGTATTGACAACAAGCTTCAAAACTTCATATGTCAAATTTTCTGAAGGTGTTAACATCATAGATATGTTTACACTTAAAAATGTAAAATTTCATGCCAAAAGAAAAGCATTTGCGGAAAGTTTTAATTCATTACTTTATTTTGAAGTGCTGCTGAAAGTTATCTTATACTTCGGGAAGCTTATGGTGAACATGCTCCATCTCAAGATACTTGTAAACTCTGGTTTAAATGCTTTAAAAGTGATGATTTCGATCTGAAAGACAAAGAACGTCCAGGTCAACCTAAAAAGTTTGAAGACCAACAAAATTACAAGCCTTATTGATGAAGATGCGTGGCAGACTCAAAAACAACTTGCAGAAAGATTAAATTGCTCAGCAAATAATTTCCAGTCATTTACAAGCAATGGGAAAGATTTTAAAGGAAGGAAAATGGGTGCCACATCAACTGAACAAAAGACAAATGGAAAACTGGTTAATAGTTAATCTGAAATATAAACTGGTTAATAGGGATTTTGTAATTTAAAAAAAACGATAATTTCAAGAGAAACATCAAAAGTGCTTTATTCAAAGTAATGTCCATCGCTAGCTACACATTTCCCCATCTTTCAGGTAATTTGTGGATACTGTCCCAATAGAACTTTTCTTGTTTTGAGACAGACCATTCAGAGACCCAATTTTCCACTGCTTTGTATGTTTTGAAGTGCTGCTCAGAAAGTGCATGTGCCATCGATCAAAACAAGTGGTGATCTGAAGGAACAATACAACAAAATAGCATAATATCAAATCACATATATATCAACATATGTATAACTCCATCTAGTGAAAAAAATCCGCATTATTAATCAGTACACCTAGCAATGGTACTGAAATATGTCATTTTATCCTTTCTCAGACCAATTGAATCAAAATTTCCTTTAGATTATCCAGCCCTTTCCCAAGGAAAAAGTCTCTCCTTGTAGAACAAAAGGCCACTCCCATCTCGTACCCTGATTAGCCTTGTCCCATGTGTGGAGGCACCTGCAGTAAAGGATTTATCTTTATTTCCAAAGACCTACTTGTTCCCCATGTGAGCTAGTCCCAGGGTCTGTGATTCTTTTGTCATGTTTAAGATCTGAATTGCCCCTTTACAGCTCGTCAGATAAGCAGCAGTGCGGGACAAGAAAATCAAATAGAATCTGTTTGGGAATTTGTTTCTTCCTTATGAAAGCTTTGATCTCCAAATAAAATTAATGAGCTGCTGAGGTGTCTTAATAAAAGGAAGACTATATGCACAGATGCTACTATGATGATATGCATGGGTAAAATGAAAGGGAGCAATGATTGGATTCTGCCATCACCAAACTCACCAATTATGATATCATTAACCTCAGCGCTTGTTTCACATTTTGACTGATATTCCTTTCCTTCTCTCAACCAGTTAGAGCTGAAACCTCAAGGCCGAATGCTAATGAACGCAAGATACTTCTTGGAAATGAGTGGCAAGTGACATTTCTTCTTCCTGTTGGGGGGTGAGAAGGGCATGTCCCTCTCCTCTTGTGCAAACCATTGGACTTTTGCAAAGCATAGAAAAGAATCAGGAGAAAAGGGAAGCCCAAGTAATGTTCTTAAATTTTCCAGCGGTGCTCAAATACTAGTTGAAAACACACTATCTGGGTTAAAGAATCATAAAAATATAAAACATTTATAGCATTAGTTTTTCAATTGTGTGGACACATATGTCCAGTACTTTTAGTCTGTCTTTATTTTAGTTTGAGAATTTAATGTAAATTCAAAAAGCTGTTTATGTGTCATGATACTGTCTTTGTGTAAATCAGCGGTTCTCAATCTTCCTAATGCTGCGACCCTTTAATACAGTTCCTCATGGTGCGGTGACCCCCAACCATAAAATTATTTTCGTTGCTACTTCATAACTGTAATTTTGTTACTGTTATAAATCGTAATATAAATATCTGATATGCAGGATGTATTTTCATTGTTACAAATTGAACATAATTAAAGCATAGTGATTAATCACAAAACAATATGTAATTATATATGTGTTTTCCGATGGTCTTAGGCGACTCCTGTGAAAGGGTCGTTCGACCCCCAAAGGGGTCACAACCCACAGGTTGAGAACCGCTGATGTAAATGATGTAATATAACAAGCTGCCGCATTATCAGCAGAATACAAAATAAATATGAGACTAATAAATATTTTCCATAGCACTAGTAGCAAAATTTTAATGACTTCAAGTGAGTCACCTCAAATCCTTTTAGGAACAAGAAAGGAAAATGCATTGCTAAAGAGTTTCAGTTCCATATAACACACAGACATTGATGACGGAAGTTACATTTAGGAGTGTGTGGTTGGTGCCTGTGACAACTTGTCAGTTCCTTCTGTTGCATTTATATTCTGTGGTCAAAGTGTTATTTAAACTAAGTAAATGCTAATACTCATAAAATCCTAAACCTCAGAACGTATATGTGAACTTACTGATAATTAACTGATTTAATTATTTTCTAAATTAGCTTTACTACCAAGAAACAAGTTTTAGTTTATAAAATTGTGATGCTTTGTGGGGCAAAAGGGGGAGGTGCTTCACATGTACAATTCCTTTGGGTCCAGAGTCAAAAAAATACAATGGGGAAAAAATATTATGAGATAACCATGTAAAATGGGACACTCAGCAGATATTTGATGATATTGAGACGTTAATTTTTTAGGTGTGATGACATTATAGTTATATTTTTCAAAGGCTCCTTATCTTTAAGATACATACGCAAATATCTATATATAAAAAAGCCTAAGTGACCATTATGACCCAACGACCAGCCAGTAGCTATACACACACTGACCACCAGGGGGCAGATGCTCAATACAGGAGCTGCCCCCTGGTGGTCAGTGTGCTCCCATAGCCAACCTCCCATGGCCAGCCAACCTCCCACAGTCCCTCCCACACCGGCCAGCTGGCCCTGATCAGCCCCAATCGCCAACCAGGCTGAGGGGCCGGCCCTACCTGTGCACAAATTCGTGCACTGGGCCTCTAGTTTATAATAAAATAATACCAGGAATTTGTTTGAAATAATGCATTGGCACAGGGTGAGGGGAGTGGATGAATGTAGTAGATGAGTGGCCATAGATTAGAAATTATTGAAGCTGGATGATAGTTACTGAGAAATTGATTACAATATTTGCTCAACTTTGTATATATTTGAAATTTTCCATAATAGACCTCTTTTTTTAAAAAGAAGAAAACTCCTTAAGAGGTAACAGTACAATCCAAACTTTTCTTCTTTTATGTCTGGTGGCTCCAGATATATACTGCATGTCATTGTACTATTTTTGATAGTGAATCTAGGGCAGCTAAATAACTGGGTTTGCATCAAAAGTGAAAGTACTGGACTAAATTATAATACCAATGCTGTTTAATTCCTCAAGAAAGACAAATTATACATCTCCTATCAGGTAAAATATGACCCAATGTAAATTGAAGAAAGTCCTCCATCAAAATGCAACTATTCTTGATAAATGCAAGATCACTGCTTTGAAAAATAATTCTATGGAACTTAAATTTTTTCTTAGAATGAGAAAGCAAATTCAGACGGACCAAAAACAATGATATTTCACAATGATTACACAAGCCCAGGAAGTTTGTTTGTTTTTTAGAATAAAATGTAGTATTTTAAATTTTTTATACTAGACCAAAATTGAGACTCCATCTTTAAATTTTTATATATCAAAAAACCCTAATTTTTAACAAGCAATATTATGGAATAACTCATAGAATATCATTCAATTAAGAATACTTATTATTACATATAACAAATCATTTTCTGAAAGATTCAGAAAACCCAAATGTGAGTTCTTACTCAGGGATCATAAACTCAAATTGGAGAGGTGGTACAGATTAATCAGAGAATTAAATCTCAAAACATATAAATGATAATTAACCAATGGGTTACCTTCATTCCAGAAAATTGCGTATGACAGGCATTGAAGGGGAGGCAGAGTTGAGTTTGCAGAGAAGTGGGTTTTACCTCTAGGAGGAAAAACGTGGACGCTTGAGCAAAATTATGAATATACAAAGGACTATGAGAAGGTGAGTCTAGGTAGATCAGTGGACCCATGCTAAAATCAGGATGAAGAATCAAAGACAAACTTTCAAGGGTTTGGAAGCCAGGCAAGAGGAGTGTGATTTTGAGAAGTCACCAACAAAGAGTTATAGTCGCATTCTTGAGCAGGACATGATATGATGAAAGCAGTGTTTGGAGGGAACTGCTTGTGACAGAATGTGGAATAGGTTTGGGAAAGAAAATAGACTGGATATAGAGAAAACCTATAAAATTTTATTTTTGCATTGGAGAGTTGGTGAGAATCATGTACTTAAAGAAATGAAATAAAAGAAAGAGTCCAAAAGAAAATAAGATAAGAGTAAGATTTCTTGGCAGTGCAGATGAAAGGGTATTCCCATTTTAAGTACATAATTAAGGTGCTTCTATAATTCTTTAAAAATGAAAGTTGAATGAGGGGTAAAAATGTTGATGACATCTCTTAAAATAGCCTGGAAAATTATAACAAAAGTGCTAGAAATTGGAAGAGAAGGCAAATGAAGGGGGATAATGAATTCAATCTTGGATAACAATTAAGATGACTTCTACTACACCCCTCTTTAATGGAAGCCTCAATTCTTTTCTACTCTATAGGGAATTAAATGGCTCATTGCTCTCCACATACAACTCAGTCCTTTCTGTATCTTTTCTAAAATTCCCATTCCTTGGTTTCTGTGCTGGAATCACTTTTTCTCTTCTTACTCTGCTCTCCTACCATCACTCTTAGTAGTTCAATGTTCACCCTCACCATCTGACACACCCACTTCATATATTTACACCTTCCTACACTTTTTGTTATCCATTTAATAACCCACATGTCTTCATGTGGAATTCTCCATCCCAGTAAGGACTCAGAGTCAGTCCTCTTTTTCTTGTAGCTCATCCTCCTCTCCTGTCAATTCTATGCTCTCTCCCATCCAATAAGTACTAGACTTTACCCTAATCTAGTTTCTCTTTCACACCCATTTGTTAGCCATTTTTGACATGAACTCAAAACCTAGCCTGGAATCCATGATAACCCTTGCCAATGCTCTACTGTCATGAGCACCCTCTTCTTCCAAAGATATCCTGATCTCCATACCAGGCATTCCCTCTCTCCTGCCCCATGCCTTTGACCATTTTTACCAGTAACCTATTCCTTTTGTCTTCATTATCTTGGTTAATTATTGCTTCATCCATTCAGAAACATGAAAGTAATTTTTATAGTATTATTTTCCTTCAACCTCCCACATTAATCCATTAACAGTTTCTGCCTATGTTGTCTACTTAGTGTTTTTCAATTATATCCCCTGCTTACATCATCATTACAGCTTGCCAAATTCCACTCATTCTGCACGGCTGCCAGGATAAACTATGTAAAACTCCACTCTGAACATGTCATGCCTCTGTTCCTCTCTGTGCTCCTATCCCTGCCTACAGCCTTTTGGTATTTATAAATTATCTACAAGAAAATGCTTAAGCTGATGTGACACCTACACATCTTCTGCATGTGACCAGTTCTGTTTTCTGCTTCATACTGCACACTGGCAGTACACATCCTAAATGCCTTATCGCTGTATCCTTGCTCATTCTTTTTCATCTAGAGAGAACACTTTTTGCTTTTTCCCACAATACCATTTACTACATATTAATGGGAGTTATTTATTCCTCAGAACCCAGGTTGGAAATCATCTCTGCTAGTACCTTTCTTGTCCCAACTTTCCACTCTTTCTCACTTCCACTACCTACACCTGTCTTCAGTGCTATAATTCCCTTTCCTCTGTGTTCCGATAGCCTCCTGTGAATACTACTTCTCTGACATTTACTACGTTCCTTCTGGACTCTAAGTTGTTTGCAGGAAAGCAATAGTTGAAATGATCTTACTTGTCTCTCTAACTCCAGCACCAGGTTCTATGCTAGGTACATAGGAGTTATTTAATGAATGTTTGTTGAACCGTTCAGTTGGACTTACCCTGGCATTTAGAAATTCCTTTTCTTTTGAATCCCATAAAATTCCTATTCCAAACATTCGCACACTCCTTGGTTTCTGAGGATATCTTATTCTTGCTCTTTGAGATTGGTCTGCTCCCCTCCCCCCACTCACCCCCATCCCCATATAACTGGGAGAGACTCCATCTTTGTCTGTCTCTGCATTTAGAATACAGTTGCTTCTCCCTGCATTCTCTTCCTGCTTTTCTGACTCAGAGAAAGTCCTTCCATTCTTGGTCTCCTACATCTAATTCTCAGTAGCTCTGTACCATCAATCATGCTTCCTCTCTAGCATCTTCAGTTTTCTTTCTCTCTTTTTTACTTTTTTATTGATTAAGGTATTATAAATGTGTGGTTACCCCCCTAGAGCCCCCCACACAATCCTGCCTTCACTCTCATTGGTTTCCAACTCACTGCAAAGACATCTTCTCCTATCTTCAAAGGGAACTTTTTTTCACCTTTTTACCTCCATGAGTTTTTCTTTCCTCTCCTTCTCTGACACTTTTCTTAGAAAAGTAGCTTATATTTATTAGTCTCTGTTTATTCACTACTTTGTCAATTCTTAAACCCTAAGAGTCTGACTTATATTTCGACCAATCTGCTAAATGGCTTTCTCCAAGACTATGAATCCTCAAAACAAATACCTATTTCTTAGCCTTCACTTCCCTTGACATCTCTATATCATTTCATGCTGAAAAAACCATTCTTTCTTGGCTAGCCCAATGTGATTTTTTTTAAAAAAAAATTATATCTATGTTGTTTTAAAAAATTATTTTTCTATTGTTTGAGCTACATGCTTCTAACATGAATTCATCTTTAACATGTGCTTAACATGCACTTAGCATAAACCTTTCTCTTTTAATCTTTTTTAAATCCTTTATTGTTTAAAGTATTACATACGATTCCTTTTGACCCTATTGACCGCTCCCCACTCATTTCCACCCCACCCCTGCATATGCTCTCACCCCCTCTACTGACTGTGTTCATGGGTTATGCTTATATGCATGCATACAAATCCTTTGGTTGATCTCTCCTCTCCCTCTTTTTCCCCACCCCATTCCCCCCTTCCCCCTGAGGTTGTATGGTCTGTTTGATGCTTCTATGTCTCTGGATCTATTTTAGTTCATCACTTTATGTTGTTAATTATATTTCACATATGAATGAGATCATGTGATATTTATGCACTGCTAGTGGGAATGCAGAGTGGTCAGCCACTGTGAAAAACAGTATGGAGTTTCCTCAAAAAATTAAAAATAGATCTCCCATTTGACCCATTAATCTCACTCCTAGGAATATATCCCAAGAAACCAGAAAAACCGCTCAGAAAGGACATATGCACCCCTATATTCATAGCAGCACAATTTACAATAGCTAAGATTTGGAAATAGCCTAAGTGCCCATCAGCAAATGAGTGGATTAAAAAACTATGGTACATCTACACAATGGAACACTGCACTGCTATGAAAAAGAAGAAACTCTTACCATTTGCAACAGCATAAATGGAACTGGAGAGCATTATGCTAAGCGAAATAAGCCAGTTGGTGAAAAATATCACATGATCTCACTCATATGTGGAATATAATGAACAACATAAACTGATGAAGTAAAATAGATCCAGAGACATAGAAGCATGGAACAGACCATCCAATGTGATATTATTCAAGTTTTTCTCTTAATTTTTCAGCTGCCTCTTTATGGACTCTTTTGTAATTCCTTTCCTTACCACTCAAAAAAATGCATGTACATATCTCCAAGGCGATTTGACACCATCATATATACAGTTCTTTGTGTGAGCGCCATGTCTCCCTGACTTGACTGTTAGCACTCAAAGGTTACAGATATTTTACATTTCTTTAGAACATTCAGCATGGCAATTTCCTCAGAGCTTACCAAGAAACACTTGTGCTCAGATTGGCTGCAAACAAATGATAGAACAAATAATATAAAAGAAATAACCAAATATATAAAAATCAATGAGCTTCTTCAAGCCAATAAATAAACAGAAGAGAAAATTGCTTCAGAAATAAACATCATAAAAACCAGAAATTCTGAGCTTTTGTAAATGTACTTCTCATAATCACTGAAATGGTTAGAGGATAAAGGATATCACAATAAGAAGCAAGGGAATAAATTCATTTCTAGCACTTTCTTCTTTAAAAAAAATTTACATTATCATAGTCTCATGCACAGAAAAAAATATATATATGTGTGTATGGTTATAGTAATACAGTTAGAATTCCCAAAATAATTCATTTCATCCCATGAATTTAAAAGTAATTTTACACTTTACTTATTTTATTTCATATCATTTCATCTGGACCAAAATAGCAATGAGTCAAATCTTACTGACACTTGTCCTACTACCCAGTCATGAGTTGTAAATAGATCTCCACACTTATACCAACACTTGTGTAAGAAGACAATCACATCAGTGACCCTGAATTTAACCTCTCATTCTCCAAGCCTAATTTATTTTTTTAATTTAAATTCTTTATTGTTTAAAGTATTATGTAAGTCTTTTTCCCCCATTGACCTCTCCCCAGCCACCCCTATCCCCAGCACATGCCCTCACCACCACCCCACCATTCATTGTCTGTGTCCATTGGTTATGTTCATATGCATGCATACAGGTCCTTTGGTTGATCTCTTACCCCGACATCACCCCCCTTCCCTCATAGGTTGGACAGTCTGTTCAATGCTTCTATGACTCTGGTTCTATTTTTGTTCATCAGTTTATGTTGTTTATTATATTCCACAAATGAGTGAGATCATGTGGTATTTATCTTTCTCTGTCTCAAGCCTAATTTATTTCCAGCTCAGTTCCAAACACAAGGGCCTCAAAGGCCTAACCTTAAAGTATTGGGCAGTATTATGCTCCCAACTGTGGAACTCTTTACATGGTTATTGGGGATGCTCTTTATCTGGGAGTCTGGAGTTGCCATAAAACAAACCTGTAAACACTGTGGAGAAGACTTTAAACTTAAAATGCATCCTGGGACTTGGGTGAATTCCTGGAGGAGAGATCTCCATCTACACAGCACCACCTTTGTCTACTCAAATGTGTTTCTAACTGGCCACTAACAGAGATATGAAAAAGACAGTATCTTAGTAGGGACATTTGCCCCAATTATGTTGTCAAGCCTCTGCCACTGCTTAGCCAGAATGGATGTAATTTAGTTAAATATTGTTAATTCTTTATATTTACAAAATAAATATAATTCTTTATACTTACTCTCAATAAACCTTTATTTCTGTATTTATAAAAATAAAAGAGATAGACTATGCAATCCAAGAATCTTCAAGCTATTTAAAATTATAATTCTAGAAGTTATAATCATTAAATTCATTATCTTTATTTTAGTGATTATTTTTATTATTTCTTTCTTGTTTACCACATTATTCTCGCTTATATGCTATACTTTTTATCATGTTGTTTAACCATGACTGCCTTGCTGTTGTGTGTTTTGTGTGTTTTTTTGTTTTTGTTGTGTGTTGTTGGGGTGTTTTTTTTTTGGGGGGGGGGAAGGGGGCCTGGGCTTCAGCCAGGGCATTGAGAGGATTCTCAAAATTCTCCCAGCCTTTTGAAAAGATACCATCTGGGTATTGAGCATTGTAGATGGTGACTACCTAAAGTACCTTCACCAATATTCAGAGCCCAGGGTGAACTGAAGAAATATGAATGTGATCATTTGATGTGGATGACTAGGTTACATCCAAGACTACCTAGACATTACAAAAAACATCTACAGTTATCCATTAATTCCCAGCCCTTTCTACATTGGCCAATGTAGTCTCTAGCTGGTCTATCTTATTACTGTAAATATCAGGAACCCAACATAAATAACTACCCAAGGTTTTTTTGCACTCACACACAAGTCTGGCCAGCTCTCCTCTGTTTACTGTACTCTATAACCAGATGTAAAGCATCTTTAAAAAGAATGTCATTTCCAAGTTATCATTAACCACATTATTCTCTAGAATTACAGGCAGAAAAGTACCACTTCCTGTCTTTCTGGCTGACTCATCATTGACAGTGAATAGGAAAGGTTGTTAAATACCTTGAAAGTTCTGACCACTGGTTTTAAAAATTGAAATATGATAACTCAGCACACTCAAAGGATAGGGAAGGATTGAGCCAATAATCCAACCTTGCAGTTTCAAATCCTATAATAATATGCCCTATGGTAAATCTGTATTAAAGAATTTTTTAAAAAGGCTTAGTACTGCACCAATCTTAATAAGTACTGGGAATTTTACTGGTCTCAACATTTGTCTAATTCCTGGTCCATCTCTGTCCCTTCCCCATCTCCCCACTCATCCCTTCCAGCTATGACAGCCATATTACAGAACTTCACTTTGTCCCCTATCCTCTTCTGCAGACACAAAGGACATGAGTGAATTTGAGGCTGAAGGCTTCTTTGCTTTGCATCACCGTCGAGGAGCCATCAAACAGGCCAAAGTCCATCATGTCAAGTGCCATGAGTTCACCGCCACCTTTTTCCCACAGCCCACGTTTTGCTCCGTCTGCCATGAGTTTGTCTGGTATGGTGGCTTGACCTTTCACTCTTAGCTTTAGATTATGCATTTTGTCTCATCCTCCAGGCCCAACATGCCTCTCCTTAGGGGAGCGTGACAGAATAAATGCTACATGAGAGTTTTCAGTGGCCACACCTAGATTGAGAAGGCTTAAAGGGTGTGATTCTAGAAAATATTTCATAACCTGGCTCCTGTAGAGCAAGGAAGCCAGCTCCCTCAGGAAAAGGTTCCAAGGACTTTAGTTCCTAATTAAATGGGAGGCTGCTGGGGTAAGAAGGGAGGGACAGAGTGGGTAGATATCCTCATTGTAAGCACAGTTTCACAGCTGAAACTCCCACCACCTTACACCACCTTGATAGCCGACCTTGTGCTGGCACTAATATCTACAACAGGCAACAACTTTTCCATTGGAGCTAATGTGTTTAGATGTTTATAGTGCACTTGGGTGTTTTAACAGCCCTCGAACAGAGATCAGCTCAAGCCTCAGTAGCCACATAGCAAAGGCTATGATAGAGTAGAGATTTAAAATGACTCCTATCTCTGGGCTCAGGCTGCCCGCTTCCTAATGGGGTGTTCTTCCCTTTGGACAACTACAGAATCCTTTAATGCACAACCCCAGCTTAACCAGAGTATCCAAGGTCAAATAGACTTCTGGTGGATTTCCATCAACCTGTTTCCAGCTAATGACCTGAACCTCCTTCCTTTCCCTAGTGAACGATACTCCAGAAAGAGGAAATGAAATTTTCAGATGTCTTTGCTGATCTATACTGAGCTTAGTGAGACATGGAAATTTGCTACTAGGAGCCTGTGGTGCATTTTCAGTCAGGCATTTTAACCTCTACATGTTTGCTTGGAAAATACACAAATGAGAGGGCAATCAATAGCTCCTCATTTATTTTATCATCAGACTTTTAGCAAAGCAATTTAAAATAAAATTTAAAAAAACACATGTTAATACTCTTCACAAATGATAGACCAGGGCTGCTGATGAGAAAATGCTCTGTGATCATAGAAGAAATGAGATCTCATCACCTTTCAGATATTTGAGGTGCTGCTGTTGGTTTGAACTCCCATATAAATTATACCTGTGCTTTATTACAGGGGTCTGAACAAACAGGGCTACCAGTGTCGACGTAAGTAAGAAGGATTTCTATTACATTACCATCATTCTTTTGTAGTTGCTCCTTAACTTCTGAAAATGTTAAGCTGCAATCATTTCTTTTCAGAATGTAATGCAGCAATTCACAAGAAGTGTATTGATAAAGTTATAGCCAAGTGCACAGGATCAGCTGTCAATAGCCGAGAAACCATGGTATGTAGTTAGATTCTGCTCTTTGTCTGAAATATGATGACTTTACCCTAACATTAAACTTTACAGCCCACTAATTCTTTTTAATAATGCCTGAACTTGAATCATTAAGGTTATTGGTAATCTCCCTAAAACCCTTTCCTCTTCAATAATTGTTACCGAGATCCAAGACTAGGGTATAAATTTTAAAAAACACAATAGGAATTTTAGTGACTCTGCCTTTTCCAGAAAAACATAATATAAAGTGGCCAGAAAGCATAGTTTTGCCCAATTATGATATATGAAAACAACTCCTGTGGTACCTACAGCTAGAAGTGACAGTTAAAGAGCAGAGGCAAATGACAATATGTACAGATATAAGCATTTACAAGAGGTGATAATAGATGTATAATTCTTATATTAAGAAGCAAATATTTCTTTCTGAATGAACTTTGAGTTATGTAGTTTGAGGACAAGTTAGATTTTACTCCATAGGGAAGGGAAGCTGAGCTAGAAAGTCAAGCAGCCTTCCTTCTCCCACCCTTTCCTTCTTTATTTGACAAATATTTATTGGGTGTCTAACACTTGGAAGGTACTCTGCTATGTACACTGTACAGCAAAGCACAAAACAAATGTGGTCCTGCCTTTATGGACTTTTCCATAAATCTGGAGAAAGAGATCATTAACAAATGACTGTGTAGTTTCCATTTATGTTAGGTATTAGGAAAATAGCCAACAGGGTGCGATGATGGAGAATAACCAAGTGGCCCACTTAGACTGAAGGCCAGGGACTCTCCCAAGGGAGAGGACGCTTAAGCTGAGAGCTGAAGGGTGAAAGGAGGCAGCTGTGTGAACAGTGGGAGGAAGGAGCCCCCAGACAGACTGAAGGGCCCCATGAGCAGAAAGAATCAGCATGTTTTAGAAACTGAAATGAGCCCATGTGGCTAGAACAAGGGCAAAAATCAAATATGACAACCTGGCAGGACCTTGATCAGGCAGGGATCTTCAGATCCTGGAGAAGAGGTTGGATTTTTTAAAAATATATATTTCTATTGATTTCAGAGAGGAAGGGAAGAGGAGAGAAAGAGTTAGAAACATCAGTGGTGAGAGAGAATCATTGATCAGTTGCCTCCTGCACATCCCACACTGGGGATCAAGCTCGCAACCCAGAATGTGCCCTGAGCATGAATCAAACCATGACCTCCTGGTTCATAGGTTGATGCTCAACCACTGAGCGATGCCAGCCAGACAGTTGGGTGTTTTGTTTTGTTTGTTTGTTTTTTGTTTTGTGGGTTTATTTTTTTGTTTGTTTTGATTTTTTTTTAATGGAAAGTCCATTGCAATGACTGCTGTAGGGGGAAACAGTGGATTGAGATGTGAAAGTAAAAACCTGGGAAGATGGAGTCCCACCAGGGCAGAAATATAGTAGCAGTAGAAATGGAACAAAATAAGCAGATTTTTGGGGTGATTTCAATATTCCAAATGACTGTAATGCTAATGGACAAGATGTGGAGAATGAAAGAGATGGATGATAGCTGAGTTTCTGTCTTGAGCAGTGGGGTAGATATCAGAATCATGAGAATGTCAGTAAGACGGGAAGTAGAGATCTACAGGGGAAAATTAATATTTTCATTTTAGACAACGTCAGTCTGAGATGCCTAAGGACACCCAAGTGAAGTCATCAAATAGACAATTTTATGATCTTAGAATTCATATGAGCCAATGGAATAAATCTATAAATGTAGGAGTGACTATCATTGGGGTAGAATTTGAAGCTGCCAAAGAGATGATCTAGTGAGGGAGGATAGGAAGAAGGGAGTATAGGTTCCATACTGACCCCAAAGGAATCTAAAATTAGATGTAGGTAGAAAGAAGGAGCTTGTGATAGAGATGAGAACAAAGGTTCAGAGAGGGCTGGCTCTTAATATATTAAGAGCGTATGAAAGGGTTGGTTGTGTTCAGTGCCGTTGAGAAAAACGAGGGCCACATGGAGATCTTTTGAGCCCTTGATCAGAGAAATTCAGAGGATTTACAGAGGCAGTCCCCTCATTGGTCAGCACTGGAAGATGACAGATAACATGGAAACAACCTATGCATTAATATTTTCATGAAGATTAACTGTAAAAGAGATCATTGAAGTAGAACAGTAGCTGGAAGGAGGTGAGATACAAGAGGTAGAAATAGTCCCATAGCTAGGGGGTGATGACACATGGATGAAGTTGGAGAGAGGGATGACCAAAGCAGTCAGTCTTGGCAAGAAGGGAAGAGGTCCAAAGCACATGTGGAGACGGGTCTTTGGTGGACAAATGATCATTTCATCAATTGTAGGAAAGGAGAAATTGGTTGCAGATACAGTTAGGTTTGCAGATTTGAGGGCAAGCAGTTCTGTTAGACAACTTATATCCTCAAAGAAGTCTGAGGGTTGAGAGAAGGAAGGCTATGACTGGCTTGAGAATGGGAAAGCAATGGATTAGAGAAAAGCAGTAGGATTGCCAAGCATAGTTGAAAGTCCCTTTGAATTTGAGGGTGTCAACCTGCCCAGGTATGTGATTTTCTCCAGCAAAGGGACAGGTACAGAGAAGGCAAATTGATTTAGTTTTTCCAGAGTAGAATTACTTTTAAAATTTAGAGGGGGGATAATCTCATATTAAAGTGACTCTGCTAAGGCTCAAAGAGATTAAAGTAGTTTGTCTATAGTCAACCACATTTAAGGGACAAAGCTGGACTAAAATTCAGATCTCAGTCTCCCCGAACAATGTTTTTGTTTGCTTAAATCAAATTGCCACCTCTCAACACACCCTCCTGCTCCTGTTACTTGATACCTCAGCTTTCCTGGAAAATCTCAGATTGTAAGCATAGCTGTTCACCTCAAAAGCTAATGTCCAATAGAAATAGAATAAGAGCTACAGTACAATTTTAATAAATTTTTAAGTGGCCACATTAAATAAAGTAAAAAGCAACAGGTGAGATTACTCTTAACATTATATTTTTATTTAACCCAACCAGCCCAAATATTATCATTTCAATGTATAATTAGTATAAAATTAATAAGATATTTTACATTTTTTCATACAGTCTTCAAAATCCAGTGTGTATTTTACTCTTACAGCACGTCTTTTCACCGCCTTGCAAATATTCACTTGGCCCTTGTGGCTAAGTGACTATCATATTGCAAAATATAAATCTACAGTCTTTCCCAGATGAGCCTTGAGCCATTTGGGCAGTTCATGAATTAAAGTGGAAACCTTCTAGCCTGGACCTTGACATTAATTGTTCATATTTACATGGAAATGCTTATAAAAAGTCAGTTTTGAAAGTTGATTTTCTTGATTGAAAATAACTAGAGAAAGTGCTGGGGAACCTTTAAGCAATTCTAAACAGCCATTATAAAGACCCAGTGCTGACCAGTAGCCAAAACAGGAACATTAGCTACATCACTTTAATAAATAAGGTTTCGTTGCTGTGCATACTTCCAAATGAATTGTTCAATTAAAAACTGCGGCAGAGATTATAAGTCTTAAGTACATAAAACTTTTCATACTGTACAGAAATATTGGTATTCTTGCCAGAATTCAAACTGCCTGATTTTTTGTTGTTGTTGTTCATGGATGTCTGATTAAAGGAGAGGATTGAAACTCTGGAAAACTGAAAAAAAACACTGCAATATCTTTACCACCCGCATCCCTTTCTCATCTCCCCTCTCCCCATTTCCTAAATCATGTTTGTTTTGAGAGAGAAGAGTAAAAGTGAAAGAGGACAGGCTCTCCTTCTGATGGCACGCTATAGCTATCCCAGCTCACTTGGCTGTGTGACCTACACAAGTGTCTTGCTCTCTCTGTGCTTCATCACCTCATCTGTCAAATGAGAATACTAATAGAGGCTACTTCAAATGGGATATTTTGAGAATGACATGAGATATCACATGTAAAAGATAATACACATGCCATATGTGTCCACAGCACTTAGCAGAAGCATCAGCTACCTCTGGCCTCCTCTGTTTATGTATAATAGGTGTGAAGTGCTTCACACTTCAGGCCCTCATACTAATAAGCCCATGGCAACGTTGCCGCTAGAGGGGTCATTATATAACATCTTCCAAAGGTGAAAGCACTGGTCCTGAGTTGAAAGAGAAAAGGAAATATTTATATTAAAATAGGAAGGGAAGTGCAAGGTTTACTTAGCTGCTATCTAAATAAATAACCTTAGTTCCCTCTTCCTGAAATGTTAGCCTGACTGTGGAATGCCTCAGACTGCAGCTGTCTGCGGGTTACTTGATATGTGTATATCGCGTGCTTGCCCCTCACCCCAAAAGCGCTAATGGCTGGCTGAGTTCTTTGAACATGACTATAAAACTTGACAAGTAAAAATTGTGGTTTAAATTATACATCCTTCCAATGTTTTTATTATTCTGCTAGTTATGCTAAAGTATCTGCTAAGACATGTAAAGCTGGGAACCCAGGGACACCTACTGCCATGTGGTCTCCTCTTCTTTCAGTTCCACAAGGAGAGGTTCAAAATTGACATGCCGCATAGATTTAAAGTCTACAATTACAAAAGCCCAACGTTCTGTGAGCACTGCGGGACCCTGCTATGGGGCCTGGCCAGGCAAGGGCTGAAGTGTGACGGTGAGTCTTGTGGGAAATGCGTGTGGGCCCATACAGAACACCTCCAGGAGGTGGATTCGCAGCTTCAATGAAGAATGAGAAGGAGGGAGGGAGAAGGGATAGAGCCACTGACCTCTCCAAACATCGTGAATAAGAAAGGCCTGAAACTATAAGCCACTGCTGATCTTTCTCTTACACTGCCCCCACAAATCCAAAAGCTTGAACCCAGATAAGTACAGAATCACTCAGGTTAAATGTCAAGGACATGGCCCATTGCCTTCTGTTGTGCCTCGTCCTGGGGAGAAATGAAGAAGGCAGCATTTCTCCTCTGACCGCTTCCCTCTCCTGCCCCGCTGTCTCTCTGGGCCTGGCCCCTGACTCTGGCAGCTTCTGTGGTGCCCCTGCTGCCCTCCTTTGTGTCAGCCAGTGAGATTCTCCCTGTGGTTCCATCACGGAGCAAGCCCGGCGGGTCTGCTTGGCGGATGGAAGGTCCTGCACAGAAGAATTCCCTGACTTACGCTGGATGGAGGGTCTATCACTCAAAATGCCCAGGGAGAGGCCTAGTGCAGCTCTGACTCTGGCCTTTCCCCGCGGGTCGCCAGGACAGCAGAGCCAGAGCCTGCAGCCTCCCTGGTCACGTTATTCAGACCGATCCTGAGAAAAAGCCAGCAAGGCTCTCCTGCTCTACAACTCCAAGTTGCCAAGGCAATAACCTTTAGAAGCTGAGATGCTGTTGCACCAAGATCAGGGGGTAGAGAGGAAAACATTCCACCGAGGATGACAAAGCACTTCTGCCTTTTGAATGGGGGTGAGAGTGGGGATGGGGCCCAGATATTCAAAAAGGAGGGCTCGGCGGCAGCAGGGACCTTTCTGTTCTGAATTATTAAATAGAGAAGCCACTGTTCTTGGCAGCCCAACTTTACTTTATGTCTCTAACTAATGTGTGTCTTATCTTTTAAGCGACAGAGGTGCTGACTTAAGGTGAAAGATCACCTTCAGCAGCGTCCCCCTTCCTCATCACAATTGTGTTCACGTGTCTGGGGAGCCTGGAATGACATCTTAAGGGAGGCAGGAGGGCCTAGGTTTTAAATCATTACTGAAGGCAAGACCAGCATGTAATCAAAATCCACCTGAACAGTCCCTCCGTAGCTCGCAAGTGCTGAGAGACTCTTTCATCTCCGTGCCTGTTCAAAAGGCATGGGAGGGCCTGGCACTGTGCAGAATACCTTTACAAGTTCACAGGCAAGAAGTCTTTGGATATCCTAATGGTACACACAGCACATGAATAATCAAAGCCCCATCTACAGTCTTCCTGTTCTTATGAGAGTCTCACCGTTGACATTTCCTTTCCCTGGAACCCGGCACCCCCCAACCCCCACCCAGGCCAGGCAGTGTGATTATGCTCTGAGCTTAGAACTCCCACGAGGATTCTTGGCATTATTTCATGGCTCACATGCCTGCTTTGTTCTGTCCTTTTCTAACGTTCTTTCTCTTCCATTCCATTCTCATCCCCACTCTCCCATCTCCTACACTTCAGCCCCCTCCCTCTTTTCTCTACTCTCCCATATCCTCCCTTCCCTTTCCTCCCCCATATGTGTCCTCTGTTCTTCCTACCAACACCCCAGAGTCCCTGCTGCCTCACCTCCTCATGTCCTCATCTTTGTCACCTCCCACTCTCTCCCTACATCCCTTTTCCCTGCACATACTCTTTATCTTGCTCTCTCATAAGCCACCTTCCTAAGTAGGGCCTCCCTTCATCCTGACCTGTCTGCTTTCTCACTCCACTACACTTCCCATGAAAATAGCCATCAGAAGGAACTATTTGCACTCAAAGAGATCGACTCCTCACCTGCTAGGTTAGTAACAAAGACTTATGGCATTGTCATGGTGGGAACAAGGCCTTTCTTTACAAACTGCACATCAGAGACAACCTTAGATCTGGTACAATTTTAAGGAGCAAAGTAAAACTCCCCAACCCCTTGTGCTAAATTCATATTACCTGCCTCCCTGTCCTAAGGATGCAGAATTCAGAAGGGCATCAAGCCTTTGCAAACAGCATCTTTATTATACATCGCACTTTAAATGGATTTTATGACTAGATCTACCCACTTATACTGGGCAGCTTTATACTTACATAGTAGATGCTGCTTTATTGTGTTTTGTTATTGAACTATCCGAAGAAGAGTGGGCTAGTTAAAACTAAAGATGAAGGTGGCTAACATTTCACCTAAATATTTCAATATATATTTCGTTGTAATATACAATGAAGATGAAAGAAAAGTTGTGTCTAATGAGCGCCTATTTGATGCCAATTACTGTGCCATTTGTGGTGGGGTTTTTATTTTTTATTTTTTTGCGCACAAATGGGCTAACAATAAGCAGATAAGATTGAAACTACATGATTTTTTTTTTGCGCCTCCTGCGTAATTCCATTTTAACAATCCTGATTGATACACTTTTATAAAATTGAGTTGGACTTGAGATTTTTAGCTGGAATTTGGAAACCTTTGTGAACTTTTTTTTTTTCATTGTAACAGTGATGTTTTGCAAGCAGAATTTTAATTTTCTAAAACTAACAACAAGATATAATAGTTGCCTTCACACAGACACACAGGCATGCACATCCCCCAAACCAAGGAGGCTCACGTGACCACAAAAAGTGGAGGCAGACCTTTATCATGCTGTTTTCAGGACTATTAATCGGAAAACTCCTGCAGAATCGTGGCTGTAAGAGCTAGAAGCCTATGTAGACTGTTTAGCTCACCTAGCCCAGGTCTCCTATATGCTGGTCATGTGGTCTCAGCCACTTTCCCTCCTCCCACCCCCAGTCCTAAGCCCACACACAGACCACCCGCCACCACCTCCATTCAGTTCTGCAGGCTGAGGCTGAACCCTCGTGCACAGAGAAGCTCTTTGCAGCCTGTGTGGGAAAGGGAGGACTTGAGCTGTGGCTAGGAAGAGGGTTTAGGGTTGGCATGAACAAACTTCAACTCCAGCATTGCACATTTCCACCAATGAGAGCCAACGTCAGTCTTTTTCTCTCAGTAATGGCACAGTCTAAATGCATACTGACAGCAGACCCCTGCCCCTATCAACACAGCTCTGGTCCCATCTTTAGTGGGGCTCACTTCCCAGAATCACACAGGAGCATCTGTGTATTTCAGGAAGGGGAGCCCGATGGCATCATAAAAGCACTGTCCAAATTTATTAGTATTCAATGTCTCCTGCTGTGAAGATGGCATGGGGGTTGCCAATTGTCCCTTCACCACAGGTGTACTTAAAGAAGGTCATGTGCAAAGGCCATGGCACTTGGTTCTGTTGCTCTGGCTCATGGTGTCACTGTTCCCCTTTAGCATGTGGCATGAACGTGCATCACCGATGCCAGACAAAGGTGGCCAACCTATGTGGCATAAACCAGAAGCTGATGGCCGAAGCACTGGCAATGATTGAGAGCACCCAACAGGTATGTGACAAGTCCCTGCCGTTTCAACTCTTTAGCAACTGTGTGGGACAACATGGAGTCTATTTCTGAGCACTTGCTTCTCCCCTTTCATCTTCATGCCCATATCCTGCCTTTGTGATATTTATTTAATGCATTTGTATTGTATGGCTCTTTGTAAGATCTTAAATTTGTAGAATGAGCAGGGACAGAAACAAATAAATTCATTAAAATTGTTGAGGATTCATTGCCAGCTTTATACTCATATACTAGGGTTGATTAATAGCCTGAGGGAAAACTGATATGCTAGAATCATCCCTAAAATGCCCTCAGAACTCCTAGTCCGGGGCAATTTTTGCCTTGCCATATACTAGCATGCTTAACTTGCATATCCAAGAACAACACCTCCTTAGGACTTGGCAATGCAGTTTTTCTACCCATTGCCCTTCGATTGGATAGCATGGGAGAAACAATTAATTAGGTCCAGAAAAGTATGAAGGAAGTGAATATGCTCTGCTGCTGCATAAAATCCAGTAGACTCTCACAGGATATGGAATCCAAAAAAGAGTGATTAGGGAACGAGCTTTGACTACCTCATGCATTTAGGAATCTCAAGTGGCTTTCGTCCCCAAGGACAGGCTGAGCTGTCTGTCAGTGGTAAGTGGTCTGACTCTTTGTTTGTAATCTAGGCTCGCTGCTTAAGAGATACTGAACACATCTACAGAGAAGGTCCGGTTGAAATTGGTCCCCCATGCTCCATAAAAGGTGAAGCAAGGCTGCCCTATGTACTGGCATCAGGGAAACGAGGTAGCTATCTTGATCCCCATAGAATCAATGTCAGGAATTTGTCTCGATTAACCTTAACCTGAGTCCTCTGTAGATAAATACTCCGTGTACCTGGTCTGATAGATGATTCTTTTCTATCTAAATATTACAGACATAGCCACCAACTAAGATGCTCCTACTTCTTAGAAGTGAAACTAAAACATGCCCCATTAGGAAACCTTTTTAACACAGTGGGAGGTTTGGGGGGGCGGAAGGGGCAGGGGAGAAAATGGAATAAGTCTGGAGAAAACAACTGTTCATTTTTCCTTAGAATTTTAGAATGTTAGTTACTTCCTATCACTGTTAAATGTATTTATAGAAATAAATCCACCATAAAGCTCAGTGGTGGGGATACGGCAGAAGACCATCTTATTCTGCACCTTCACAGACTATTCTGTGACGTTTAAGAGTAGAAAGGGGAAGAATAGCGGTGCCCAAAGTCCTTAACATTTGTGACATGATGGAAGTGTTCCAGCCTTCTGTTTGAAGGTCAATCATGCGAGCATATGACCACCTGACTCTGAACCTAAACAGTTTCAACATACATTACAAAAGACTTATTTTTCTTGGATTTAGGGAGAATATGAAAAATAAACCTATAGATTAAAAAATATCATTATTCCAATCACAAACAAGGAAATGATAATGATGTGATGTGATAGTGGTACTGTCGCTACAATGACAATCGTATCGCAATACGCAAATGTATCAAATCAACATATTGTGCATCTTAACACAATGTGAGATATAAAATATTTTCAATAAAAAATAAAAGAAAAATTATATTCGGGAGAGGAGGAAAGATTCCAAAAATGTTTTTCTACACGTCCTCTGGCATGGGGTGAGGAATAAATCGACTTACAATTTTTTAAAGAAAGGTTTGGATTAGAGGGGGAAAAGTGTCCAGGCAAAGAAGTAGACCAGGTCTTAGAGATGATCAAAGTAGGTGGCACGTTGACTTGACGACTGTGACAAATGATGCAATTCAGATCTTTAACAGTCTGCTATCCATTTTCTCTTCCCTCCCCTGGTAAGTCATAGAAACTGATGCCACTGTTCTTATGAGCCACAAAGCAATTGAGAATCATCTTTCCTTGAGTTTGGTGAAGATCTCTATTTGTCCATGATTTGACATTTACTAAAAGTGCTCATTTGGGTTGCATAAATGGCCTTTTGCTGATTGGAATGTTTCTCAACTTGAAAATTTCCCCAATCTATTGGATTGACGCAGTCCAGGCCCCATTGTCAGGCTCACAAGCAGGAGGTGTCACCAGTCACAGCAGGAACGCCTTTCTGCGTTATTGCAGATGGGTCCTAGAATGGGAAATTGGAAAGAATGTGTGTTCTCCAAGTAGCTAGAATAACCCTCCATTGTTCTTTGTTTCCTTTTAACCACTGGTTGCCATTCTCAGAGCCTCAGGGAATCTCCTGGGAGTCTCCCTTGGATGAGATGGAGAAAATATGCCATCATCCGGAACCTGAGCCAAACGTAGAAAGACCATCTCTACATATGAAGTTAAAAATCGAGGATTTTATCTTGCACAAAATGTTGGGGAAAGGAAGTTTTGGCAAGGTATGGTATACCACAGAATCCCACAGACCAACGTCCAAAAATTGAAGAGCAAAGCTCCTGGTTAGGAGAACTAAGCTGTTGGGGTCAGAGCTGGGAGTGGGTATGCAGAGAGTGCAGTCCTGAGCATTTTGTGACAGGTAGAGATGTTGGAATAAATAGGGGCCTACGGGCTCCAAGGAAATCAACCTTTGCCTCCCTGGGTGTATCCAGGCCATTTTACTTTGCAGGTGTACATCTCCAGCTTATGAGTTCTGTATCTCTGGACACCTCAGAAATAAGAAGGTGCCTCAGCCAGTTTCTTTTTCACACTGGGTTTTTGTTTGTTTGTTTGTTTGTTGTTATTCATTGCTGTTTGCTCAAGTGTGGGTTTACTGCTTATGTAGTTCATTTTCTCTATCAAATGTGCTCAGCCTTATGTTAGTTGGCTAGGGCTGCTGTAACAAAATGCCACAGACTGGCCACTTCAACAATTCTCACAGTGCTGGAGGCTGGCAGTCCCAGATCAAGGTGTCGGCAGGGTTGTTTTTCCTAAAGCCTCTCTCCTTGGCTTGTAGATGCCTCTTCTCCCTGTGTCCTGTCATGGTTGTTCTCTGTGCAAGGCTGTGTCCTAATCCCTCTTGTTATAAGGACAGCAGTAATTTTGGATTAGGGCCCACCTCATGACCTCATTTTAACTTCATCACTTCTGTAATGACCTCCACAGTGGCACTCTGAGGTCATGGGGGTTAGGATTCAACATATTGATTTTTGGAAGGGACACAATCACAATTCAGCCCAAAACATGGCTGTAGCTTGAAAGTCCTGGGAAAAGCTTCATGGAGAAAATGCCTCCTCTAAACTCCTCCTGCCACACACTGGAGTCATGGGCTGTCTCTGCCAGTCACAGGGGACAATGAGAGGAAGAAGACATAATTTAAGAAATTACAATCCATTATCAGTGATGGTAGAATATTTCCAAACCAGTGACTGTAAAGAGGGATGACATGGAATATAAAATTTGGGGTTCTTTACAGTGTTAAAGATACCTAATGTATTAGTTGTTTTATAGTCTTAGATTCGGCACCCATGAACATTTCAGCCACAGACTACTGTTCCATAAATTTATACACCCAAACCCAGCATTATGCTCAGCACCTGCTCACCAGACTTTGGCTGGAAAACTTACCCAGTTTATTTAATAATAAACAAACTAAAATGCAACTGATTTATTGTCCCAGCTGAATGATGATGTGCTGGGATTGGGGTTTGGATTTAAACAGCAGTGCTTCACTTTTGGCCAAATCTACTCTGCCCTGAAATCTATAGCTGACATTCATTAATTCTTTTAGTTCATTTCCACAATCATATGAACCACAGCAGGCCCATTTGATGTTAATCTCAATGTAATAGGCAATTTTACAGCCAGTCCTCACTGTAATTTAGCATCTATTAATGTGTAATCATAACCTGTTACCAAAAACTGAAAGCACATTACAGAGACAGAAATTACCTTTCCAGCTTCTTGCTTTATGGCTGGTTCTGGACTGTTTTATTGAAAGAAGCAATTACTAAGAAGGTAATTTTAATTGTTAATGAAATGTTTATCTTTCCTTATTCCTGTGTGAATTGCTTCATTTGAACATGGTTAATAAAAAAGACATTAAGTTGAACCTACAAGTCTTAGGTAACATCCCAAGGGACAGGTGAGAGCTTCAGGTATTGTCTGCTCTGTGCCCTGCCCAGCAGCACCGGGGGTCCCTACATCTGTGAGGACTGCGCTGTGGGGCCCGTGGAGAGGAGGACGAAGCATTCCCAAACTCGTTCTTCTTCCTTGGTGCTCTCTAAAGTGGTGATGGCGAACCTTTTGAGCTCGGCGTGTCAGCATTTTGAAAAACCCTAACTTAACTCTGGTGTCGTGTCACATATAGAATTTTTTTATATTTGCAACCATAGTAATACAAAGACTTATATTTTTGATATTTATTTTATATATTTAAATGCCATTTAACAAAGAAAAATCAACCAAAAAATGAGTTTGCGTGTCACCTCTGACACGCGTGTCATAGGTTCGCCATCACTGCTCTATAAGAAGTATGCTTCCTCACCAAAATGGTAGCCTCTATATTCTTGTTCTGTATCTACTTTTAGGCCCAGGAGAACAAACTGCATGTTTTCTAGGGTTTTACACATTACTCATTTGCCTGACTTGTCATCTAAGCTCTTTCCCCTCTATCAAGCCAGCTATCCCAGAGTTATGTGTCTGCACTATATCATTTTAAATGTAGACACAATGCATTTTCACTACTGGTTTAGCATCATTGACTTCAGCACTCCCTAAAAGTCATTATATGAAACAAATGACAAGTATTCTTCGTATCTGCCATTTAGAGAGGATTTTATAGTTCACAGATCACTTTCCCAGGTGGTGTCTCATTTGATTTTCACAATAGTCCTAAAGTTAGAGAATATGGTGACAGTTCTCTTTTTTACACATTAGGAAACGAAAGCCCAGAGAGGTTAACTGGTTTGCCCACATTCCTACAGCTAGTAAATGTCTGTGAAATTAGACCCTCGCTGGAGTTTTCTATCTCCAAATGCCATGTCCTCGCAACTGCTAGTTGTCTGTTGCTGCATCATTTGCAAAGGCGAGAGCTGTGGAAACTCTCCATTAGGTGCCATCTGGTGTCCTTTCATGTGCGATTCACGAAATCAAGTGGAAAAAGTAAACTCTGGAGTTACATTTTCCACTGAGTGGCTCCATGAATTTGAGAATCTTAAGTTACTTTTTGAACCTAGTTTTTTTATTATTATTATTCTTATCTGTCTTGCAGAGTGTTCTCAGTTAAGAATTAAAAGATTATAAAATGAGAGAGCACATGGAAAGTACAAAGCAGAATGCCTGACACATAGTAGGTCCTGAAAATGGGATTGGTGTCTGTGCCATCAGATAAGATGGTGTGGCTTCTCTGAGCACGCAAGGAGAGCTCTACTCCTCATGGATTCTCTTTTGCCTTGAAAAACTGGGTAAAACTTGGACGAGGTTTTATGCACATTTGCAGTAATGTTTCTAGAACAATCTGGTCTGCCTCTCCACTACTTACAGCTGCTTCCATCAATACACATTTGTCTCCGTGGTTGTTAGTTATAAACTTACTCAGGTCCCTGGGCAGACAGGGCAGACTTTTTTAAATAGAATTTTTCAGGGACTGAGAATAACGCATCCAATTGCATAGTAATTTTTTTTGAAACCCTTTGAAAGGTACAAAGAGAGTATGAAATGGTTAGGTGATAACCTAAACCAGTGAAGTGCTCTATTGTGTCTGCATAAAGGTGACAAAGGGGTTGGAGAAGGAAGCCTCCTTTCTCACCCAGCACACATCTCTCAGTCTTGTCCCTTAATGAGTGTTACTCCAACTTCTAAAATAAAGTTACCTCTTCCTTCTAGGTCTTTCTAGCAGAGTTCAAGAACACCAATCAATTTTTTGCAATCAAAGCCCTAAAGAAAGACGTGGTTTTGATGGACGACGATGTTGAGTGTACAATGGTAGAGAAGAGAGTTCTCTCCTTGGCCTGGGAGCATCCATTCCTAACGCACATGTTCTGTACGTTCCAGACCAAGGTATGGCTTCTCTGCAGACAACCCTTTGTCCACTTGTCCCTAGTTAATCTGCCTGTGCCCAGACGGTGCCCTGGTGGTACCCTCATTGTGAGATGTGGTCCATCTCCATCCTCTTCTTTTTTTACATATCAGTCCACCTTCCATTCATCTAAACAGATTTCTTTCCCTCTAAATGTTACTTAGATTTTTGTTGTTGTTGATTCTCACCTGAGGATATTTTTTCCATTGATTTTTAGAGGGGTGAGGGAGAGAGAGAGACATTGATTGCTTGCCAGGGCCAGCAATGAAACTTGCAACCCAAGTACCTGCCCTTGACCGAGAATCAAACCCATGACCCTTTGGTGCAAGGGCTGGCCGACACTCTATCCACTGAGCAATACCAACCAGGTCTAGATTTTTAAAAATATTTTTATTGATTTTTAGAGAGGGAGGAAGGGAGAGGGATAGAGAGATAGAAACATCAATGATGAGAGAGGAACATCATTGATTGGCTGCCTCCTGCACGCACCCCTACTGGGGATTGAGCCCACAACCCAGGCATGTGCCCTGGCTGTGAACCGAACCGGCGACCTGTTGGTTCCTGGGTGGCTAGGCCAGAATTTTTTTTTAAATGTAGTCAGTTGGGAAAGGGCTTTTCTTCTGAATATGTTTATCTGTTTGCTTGTATTTTATAATTTGGTTTAACTTACATAACAACTAGAATTTGTAGCAGTCTGTGACTTGACAAAGCAGTGCTTTGTGAGGGGGAAGGGGTGGAATGTGACACCTGTTTGCTCATCTAGATGTTCATCTACATGTATCTATTTGAAGAGACAAATGGGTCAGAATGCACATGCACTGCTGGCCTTTATGAGGCCAGCAGGTGAGCGGCCTGTACAGTGGGCTTCATCAACGAGTGAAGACATGAGCACTGAGGGCGAGGGAGAATTTTGTCAGAAGCCTCTCCTGTTCTGGGAGGATTCTCATCCTGGTCTCCTTTTCCCTTAGAAAATTTAATTGCTTTTTATTTCTTGACTCAAAAGTTATCCAGTATCATTTTTAGAGAAATTGGAAATGCTTATATAGTCAGAGAAGAAAATGGTTTATAATCCCACCCCTTGGGTATACTCACCATTTATACTTCGAAGTTTATCCTTCTAGATGTCCTCCCCAGTGGATTTTTAAAAGTAAAAATAGCAACCTATTATAAATATCAACTATTCTGTAACCCATCTTTTTTGACACATTTCCTCACATCTGTGGATACTCGTCTACAGCATGAGTTACCTAACTAGGACATTTCTAACTTTTTGTTCTGATGTTAATAATACCCAAATGAACATCCTTGTAGATCAATCTTCATGCACAAGCACCATGATTTTCTCTTTTCATTTTTCTACTCTCTTTCACCCTGCCCCCATACACAGCCTAGAATAATGAGCAGATTCATGTGGGACCATGTGGTTAAGGTCCAAAGAATATGAAGAGTTTTCTCTCAATTTAAAGCCTTGATGATAATGAACTACCTTACTGTAACTATGCGTGCAGAGGGCCTCTAAGCTGCCTCCAGCCACAGAAAGTAACGGCTGGGAAACTGGGACTTGATCAAAAAATGTGAGCGGCAACTTCCCCAGCTCCCAGTGGATACTCAACAGATGTTTAATGAAGGACTAAATGAATAAATACACTTAGCTAAAGTAAAGAGAAACCAGGCCATGAAAGAGAACTTAATAAATATACTGTGCTCAAAACACTGTGGAGGATATGGAACTATATAATACAGTTCCTGACCTTGAGAAATTAGAGAATTTCACTCTAATAAAAGAGGCAAGAGTGTGACTAATGCTACTTTGCAGAAGGCAGACTCTAAGCACCAGAGCTGGAAACCTAGACACTGGGAATTTGAATAGGCAGGCAAGGTTGTGGGCAGCAGACACGTGGAGCTACAGGTAGAGGAAGCATGAAGGAATGAAGGGGCAATGATTAGCTGTTTAAGAGAAAGCAGGCTTATTTTCTGCAACAGGAAGAAGTTTGGCTTGTCTGATGCTGAGTGAGAGAGATCTTCCACTAGAAATTTCCTCCTGGAGTTCATAAATATCTGTTGGTCTGGGATGGTGTGGATATGTCTCTGAAAGTGAGGAACTTTGCCGCACTCTCCAGCGTGTGTTCTGGATTTGCTGGGCGCCCTGGCACTGTTTACAATCTCACTTTTCTCTTGAAACATTGTGAGGCTTGTATAAATGCTAAATACACTTCAGACCAGGCTTCCAGGGCATTATGTAATGAAGTGGAGCGTGGCGCCTTTTCCCCTCTGGTTTTTGTTCTGTTTTTGATATTCGTATGCATGGTTTTGTCTTTGTATCTTATGGGGAAGGCTGTGATGAATCCACTTGGTAGAACACATGTATATTCCCTTCCCTGCTTATCTCTCAGGGCTCTGGGCAGTGCTCCCTTCTTTCCCTGCCGGGGACATGCCGCAGGTTCCATGCCGCCATAGTGCTTTGCTAGGCCGGGAAGTCAGTGCATGAGAAAAAGTGGCAGAGTATGTGCACAAATGTCAAACATGACTGGCTCACTGCTTACATTTCAAGGCATTGAGTCTTTTTAGAAATAAGAATTGGGGTGGGGGGGCTTGCATTACACTCTCTGAAGGGCTCTGAGTTGCTTTTAAGATGTCCTGATTTACTATTCAGATCTTGCATGTCAAACAGAATAACCAATTAAGTATTATACACAAGTGTATAAACAATAGTTGATATAAATGATGAATTGCTCTGGGGACATTTTGAAAACAGCCTTTTTGAAGGGACAGTCACCTTTGCATACTAGTGAAGACATTAGATAAGATAAATGACTATTCACTTGTCCAGGGAATTGTTATTATTTGGAAAAACTTTCTCATGTGCCTGCAAAGAGCCCTCCTATTGGTTGCCAGGTTATTCAAGAGATTCGGGGGCAAGATTCCCTTGTGATCTGTCTGGGTATGTGGGTTAATCATTAAAAGCTTTTAAAGTTTATATCTGAGGGGCATATGACCTGTCAAAGTGTGAAAATACAGTCAAGTCATTTAGGAAGCTATGGAGAGTAAAAATACCTATGGACTGGGCTTCTGAGGAACTTGAGTCCCAGCTCAACCATCACTCAGCAGGGCTGAGGGCTCCTCCTCTCCAGCACTGGGTAGAGAGTAGGAGTCACCATGCAGAGGGGCTGTGGGTGGGAGCCAGGTAATGTGTGGAAGCACAGTGCTAGGGCATAGGTGTGTGAGACAGCATCAGTTAGATCTGAACCTGAATCTGAATGAGGTTCAAAAGGAAAGAATCTTTTAAATTAATTTTCTAGGTGCCAGATCAAGATAACTGTACTTCCTTTAGGCTGTGACATAAATCGCTGGCATCAGAGTCTAGTAGTACAAATCACCATGATGAGAGGCTGTCATCTTACCAGGAGGAGGAAATGACATTTTATTATTTTCTTTATTTTGTACTAGCTTTTGTTATTTTTTAGTATTTTATTTTCTGTGTGTCACATGAACTCCCATATGTCTTGAATTGTGTGGTCCATCTTAGTATCAGATTCAGCACATATGCCAGCTACCTTTCACATTCACACTGCATTGTAAACCCATATGTTCAGTACCTATTTTCCATTATTTATATTTTTTAAAAGTAGAAATAGGGAAAGTCTACAGTAAAATTTTTCTGTAAAAATAATTGTCATAAATATTTTAACTGTACTAACAAGTAAAGTAAAAACTATTAGAAACAAATTGATTAATCATAAAACCTTGAAAATATATTTCACAAATTAGAAGGTCACTGTTAGGTTAATTCAACAAACTTTTCTTGGGGACCTACTGTTTATACGTTCTCGATGTTCCCTCAAAAGAGGCAAGACTCTAACACTGCATGGGAATTACATTACAAAGCTATGTCCTTTTCCTAACTAATTCTAATTAGTAAATAATTTTTTTAAAATCCTACCTAACTCTGAAAAACAATATTCTGCTATATTGAATTTTAAGATACCATTAATAATTAGATGTATTATTGCTTTTCTTGATAAAATTATTTTTAAAACTGTATTAGAAGCTATCTCCCAATTTCAGAATTATCTAAATGTGATATGTGTCAATTAGAAAGTGCATTGGCTGCTAGTAATGAGGACAGAAAATAACAATGACCTAAATGAGTCTTCATATAAAAGGAGTGAGACATGTGTGGTTCAGAGCAGGTATGACAGTTCCATGGCATCATTCATCAGAGATCCAGGCACCATATGCTCCCTGCTCCATCATCCACAGCACTGAGCTTCCGTCCTAATGGTACTCCTCAGCCCAATGGGGCTGCTGGAGCCCAGCCCTCAAAACCAGGTTCCAGTCAGGAAGCAGGGGAACAGGGAGAGGATAAAACAAGCCCATGCCATGTTTCTTTCCTTTATTGAATCACTTTTCCATAAGGCCTACAAAAGCTTCTGCTCACATATCTCTGACTCTTCTACAGCTACAGGGAAAGCCGAAAAACTTTAGCTTTCAGCTGTGCACTTTGCCATCCAGAATAAATATTTCTATTAAGAAAGAAAGGTAGGGAACCAGCAATCTTACTCCAACTTATGTTTTAAAATACAGAAAAATACGATTGAAAAAGCCTACCTTTATTGAGAACCTATTTTGTGCCAGATAGTTTCCTAGGAACTTTAAATATGTTATCTCATTTATTTCCATTAACCCCAATGAAGCCAATATTATTATTCCTATTTTACCCATGAGAAAACTGAGGCTCAGAATAATGAACTTTGTCTAAGACCATTCACCTGGTCACTGGGAACAGTATTCAATTTAACTATGTGCCTCCTGTATGTTCAGATCATGTAAGTACCTTAGTGACATGTCATCTATGTAGTAACTCAATGTTGACCTACAGGGAAGACATAACACTCTCTTTTTAATTATGCTAGATTAAAAGAAAGATCAAAAATTCAAGTATCCAATGTTTCTCTGATAACCCTGTGGAAAAATAAGAGGA